TTCATTACGATATTCGCAAACGAATATTTAAAATGAAGTTCGAATATTCGGAAAGTTGATATCGAATTCCTTGTTGCGAATGTCAAATATTGTCATACAAACGAATACATTCTCATTGTATATGTATAGCATACACTTACAATTATAATTATTTTATGAGACAATATTTATGAAATTACGACACTCGCTGAAACATGATCGTCTCGCGCTGCATTACATTTATCAGCTATTACTGTACACTTGTTTTGCTCATCTCATCTTCTTAGATTAATAAAAATAACATTGTGAAATACAAGAATATCGGGGAAAATAAAGAAATCTTTGAAAAAAGTACATATTGTTGCGTCCGTAAAATTTTATTTATTTGTGTCTCCTTGTATATGATTAGTTGGAGCATAAAGAAATCAATAATCTACCAAAGATTTTCACTAACGAACTGTCCTTTTTTAATAAAAAAATAGATAGTTTTATCAAAATTGTTATCGCATTGATCAAATGATATATGGTTTTTGATTTATCGTTTTTCAACTTATCGTCTTCGAATTACTGTTCTTTGTATAGCAAATTAAGTTTTAAATAATTTATATGATAAATGTCTTTGGAAGAGCAAATCCTATTTTTCCTTTTTCTCTTCAGACGTCATAATATCTATATATCTTATTATAGCTCATACCTTTATTATGACCTGTTTTTTAAGAAATGCACAACAGAGACGTGTGGTTAAACAATGTTTTTATTTCACATACAAAATAAAAATCTTCGATACAGTTTACATATTCTTCATTAATAAAACATGTCACATTGTGACATTCTTATTCATGCTCGCTGAACAATTTTCTTTAATAAATCGAAGTGAAATAGCTTCATGTAAAATAATGATGCCAAATTTTATGTTATCTTTATTACAACTTACAACTTAGTTTTTAAAAATGTACAACAAACAATCACGTGTGTGTATAATTAAACAACTTTCAGCTTTTATTTCATGTACAAAAATCTTCAACTTACACATAGATCCGATGTACTTGACAAGCCTAGTCAATGAAAGTCGAATAAAATTTATCGTATATTTTTTTAGCGAGAAGACTTATCGAATAGGAAGAACTTTATCGAAAAAATTTACAGATAAGTTAGCGCTAGTACGAAACGCGGAAAGTATATTTATCTTATATATTACTTATAACACTTAATATTTACATAAAAGAGACTTTAACGATAATATCACCGCTCTGTGTTTTCGCTCGATTATATGGCTATTGCACAGTCGTACAATAAGTAGACGAAAATACGTTTTCATTGCAATGATTGAAAATAGCTCACTTCACGTAGTCAACGACTATAAATGAATCAGTTTTTTTCAGGCCACTAATGATTTTACAAAGATAAAAAAATTTTTTAATTTTTAGATAAAATTTCTATTTGATATGTGTGTTATATATTGAGATGCAATACTGTACTTCTAGCCAAAAAAAGAGAAAGAAATTTTTTTTTTAATGAAGAAACGGGTGGAATTATAACCTTTTCACTATTTGTTTCACTATAACTGGATCAAATACAGTATCCTCAAATGAATCCAGTTATTTCACGCTTATTTTCATATAATTCTATACCGAAAACAATTTTGATGATGATTTCTCTAGACTACTCTTATTCATCATCTTGTAACGATAGTAAAGTTTGTTAGTCTAGTAATATCATTTCAAAGTAATACTATTTCGAGTTACATGCGTGAAAAGAGAGTGAATTAAAATAGAAGCGAAAAAGATCATATATATATGGTCAAAACGAATATTGATCTAATAATATTTTTGCATAAATCTTAATAATTTCCAGTTCAAACAAATTGCACCGGTTATTTGTCGGTCTCGAAACAGTCCAGTTAAGAAATGACTGGTCAAATCGACATCGATATGATAATTTCGACGTCAATTTGATGTCGTTCAACGGCTAATTGACAATCATTTATCACTGGGATAATCCTAAATTAAAATTGGAATATGTAATATCACAAATTATAATAATTAATAATAAATTGATAAATGAATAATAATCTGATACTAATGCATCTTAAAAAATGCTGTGAAAAATTTATTAAATTACTTGTCAATTTAATTTGTAATATTACGTCTCCAAATTCAGTTTGAATTGAAAGTTATAAGATTCACATAAAAATCATAAGACAATCTGCTTTGACCGAATATGATTTTCTTAGCTTATTTTATTGATCATTTCTCGATTGATTTATACTTACTATTAATAGAATTTTTAATATTTATTTTGCAATATTAGGATTCCTTTTTCTTAATTTTTAAGTCAAGTGATTGGTCCGAAAGTTCGTCTTTCGAGACGTCGCAATGATAATCACTCGACAGTCAAATATTTTCTTAAAGATATTCCAACGGAAATAAATAATGTACTATTTAGGTTGTATTCCAAATTTACTGCCAGCGCTAAAAATTTATAATTTACGTTACATATACTACAGATTCTCAGCATTGAATGAATTTTGGAATAGCCTTAATATATAAATATAATTAGAAATAAGAGAAAGAGATATAAGTAAATTAAAAATTATCATAAATGCAGAGAAAACATAAAGTTTGCGTTTAACTCTAAGAAATAAAATTGAGGTTGATTCAATTGTATCAATATTAAACTTAATTTAATACTTTTACTATCTTTTTTTATGGTGTCGCGTAATAGAGACAAAAGAGAGAAAATTCTAGGAGCTATTGATGTAATCGAGCCTATAAAATAACTTCTTTTTATTGAACTGTCGAGTGATTGAAGCAAAGCCTCTATTAATCCTTGCAACCGAGACCGGCAGACCAATTGCAGATACCGCCAACCGGATCGAAGGATAGTTTGTCGGGACAAGTGTACTCGGTTCCGATCACCTGACCGTTCACCATACGAGCGCAAGAGATGAATTTTTTACACGAGTGCGGATGCGGGAAATTGCCTTGGTCCATGCAACGTATGGTACCTTTACTCGTGAGGAAGAGTTTACTGTTGAGGACGGATTTGCCGATGACAATCGGCACCTCATCCTCGTAATAATCATAGTCAATCACTGGTGGTCTTCTAGGCCTTGTAGTCGTGTTCACCGTAGGCCTGTCTTTCGTCTGAGATCTCTGGCGGCTTCGAAAGTTCATATCATATCTTGAAACTGTCCTACTGGTCGTAGGATCTGTTCTAGGTATCACGGTGGTGCTTATCTTGCGCCTATCGATATCCCTTAATGGTGTTCGACCTAGTTATAGAACCTGATTAGTCTTTTATCACTTTGATATTACTGAGAAGGCAAGCAGGTCACTGATTCCCATAGTAAGAGAGCATCGAAGTGAAAAGATCGAAATTCATTAGTAAGACATCAATCAATGATAAATGATGAGAGCCAATAGCTGCACAGAGATTGAAAGACGAAGAGACGAATGTCTCGATAACCTTGTCAGGAATATCATAAATACATGTGTAAAATTGTGTTAACAAATCCGATTTAGAATGAGTACCAACGAACGTACGAACAGTTTTTGAGTACAAAAACAGCTATTCCTGAGAAGGTCGACATTTTACAACCAGCCAACCATTTAAACCCTATCAGTTCGATTGAAGGATTCATGCCATGTACTGTCCAGTCGATAATGGCATGAATTCAACGATTAGTGATTAATTCGCTTAGCAAATTGTGAATAAACATGGCCATAAGAGAGAAAGAAAACGATATTGATAGTATGCGTGGAAATTAACAATTGCATTAGTATGAACGGCTGACATTAATTGAGACAAATTCGGAAGAGATCCGCGTATAAATCGCGAAATTGCGCAATCGAAAAAGGAATAGAATAAAAAACAGATGATAAAAGCGAAAATCATGAAAAAGATATGCGTAATGAATGAATTATTTGATTGAATGATGACGTTATCGCGAAGTATTTTTAAGAAGACAGTCTTTTGAACGTTTTAGCTAGCGTCATACGATTTGACGTAAATTGAGGAGCTGACAAGACAGATTATTAGGGTCATCGTTAAATAATTATCAAAAATGACCCCGAAACGAAGAAGCTGGTCGCGACGGTCTTGAAATAAATCGATTGCCATTAAAAACGCATAGCTACCGATGTAATCCGTGAAGAGAATGAAGTATATGATGACTTAGTATATGGACTTCAGATTAGAAGAATTAGAAAATCGGATGGCGTGGTTTCTAACAAATATAATGTACCAATGTCTGACGTCGAGGACGGCGGATCCGATAGCGTCACCGCGAATTCTTGGGCGCGGATGCTTTGATCGGACACGTCTGCATTCTGATCATGCAAGACGATAGCCGGCTTAACATAGGACTCGGTGCCTTCGAATGCGTCTGAAAGAAGAAATGGTTCGAAAAAAAGATAAAATTAAAACAGGAAAGACAAAATTAAATTAAACTTTTTAAAAAATATGGAAATGAAGAAATGAAACGAAGTAAATGCTACTTTTAAGTGAACCTACCGATGAAATCTATCCTCGATGATATTGTGGTCTCAACCGGTCTACGTCTTCGATGAACTGTATTCGATAAGGTGTTGGTTAGCGGAGCGATCGTTGTGAACGGCGTCGGTTTCCTACGTCTATTAGAATGTCCACTTTCTGAGTTGCGATTAATCGATTTATTATTCGTCACCTGCTCGAGATACAATTGATTTATAATACTAGAAATAATACAAATTAATATCACAATATTACAATATTATCATTCCAGTTAAATGCACATATGTGCATTCGCAAATTTTGACAAAGCAAAGCTCTTACGATAGATTCATGATAAAGATAAATAAGAAACTCTAGAAAATCTAATATTTCAACACAGACAACACAAACATCTATAAGTCTTTTAAAGCATTTAAAAAATGTTTCATTTATATTTATATCTCATTTATATTAATATCTACTTTACAATCCGTATTCATATCTCACTTTGACAAATGCGTGCATTTAACATGTAATTTATGTTACATATGTAAAATTTCAGAAACAGATACGCATATTTATCGAAAGAGATATGAATATATTTTTTAGTTTTTTTTTATACATCTTATCCAAAGTGCTTTTTAATCATTAGAATATTCTTCAAATATTTTTTACGTATTGTAAAAGATTTAAAAAATTTTTCAATCATTCTTTTAAAAATATCTGAAATATCTCTTAAACTCTTTTAGATTCTAGGTTCCATTGGAATTTTGTATTTGCGATGTTTCACGTGTTAAAATATTAATCATTGATCCAGGCATTAAAACGTTGAAGATAACTTGTCAGAAAAAATAATGGATTCACAAAAATGCGTGCCTTTTGAAAAGATATTTGCTAATTTCTAATGCTAAGAAGAAATAGCAGCAAAGGAAGATATTCCTTGATCTGTTCGCGTCCCAAAATGTTTGCTCAGAGAGAAAAATTAGGTTTCCAATTTAATTTGGAATAGATAGATTTTTAATAGTCAGAAGAAAAAGAACGCATAGGCTAGTAATATGTCTTAGAAATATGATGATGATGTAGTAGCGTAAAAGACTCCTTTTATTTCACGGAAAGTATTTTACTTAGATCCAGTGAGAGGCGATGACCGAGGTTTTGCCAAACTGCCATTCAAGAGAAGCCACTAAGTTATAATCGGTTCTTTTTTTAATTTCAATTACAATCGGTTCTTTCCAAATTAATCATTCGTGTTCATATACCATTAATTGATTATATGAAATTATATTTTGATTTGATATCAAAAATATGATGATTATGGTCAGCAATCGAACGAATGATTATATTAAGCGGTTGAAAGTAATCTTCATAGCCGCTTTGTATTATTCTCTAAAGTCTTTCCGAGAAGTATACCGATCGATTAGACACCAAAAGCAGGTTCAGAAGAGATTATATGTTGAGTAAGAGGCGAATCTTCAGGCGAAAGACGTTAAATGATGATTTCTGCGAGAAAATTATGCTTCAAGAGGTCTTTTGGTTAGCATCAAGAAGAGGTAATGGTACTCGTAGTAGTAAGTCAGTTCTACTAGGGTTCCTCATTAGTTTTTTGCAGCGTTTTGTTCTTATGTTTTCGTTTTGGTTAGGGCAACATGCGATCAAGAAAATAATGTTATCAATTTAAAGTAGATCTTCGACTTAAAGCTGCACTGACCTCGAGTGAGAATCGATCAGTGTCCTTCTCGATCGGAACAGACGTCCTCGTGGTTTGCGACTCCGTGTCTTCCGGCTGTTTAGTCATCGCCTCCTCTTCCTCGGATTTAGAATACTTCATCATCTTTTTCTTGTCGGGAAGATTATTGCCCATATGAAGATTACTTAAAAAGTGGAACGTGTTAAATACTTGAGAATCTTTCCTAGCAAAATCAGAATCGACATTTGTTTCTTCAGCTACTGAATCTCTTTCCTTGGATGTAGATTTGACATTTTTCAATGCATCTTCCATTCTTCTTTGTGCGTCTTCTCCATTAAAAAGATTCTCATGAAGATTACTAGAAAAATTATGTTGAAAATCTTTATCAGAAAAATTAGAATCAGAATTTATACTCGTTTGTTTAATTGTTGAATTGTTTTCCTCGGATCTAGGCTTGATGCTTTTCAATGCAACTCTCATTCTCCTTTTAGTTCCATGTTTGACAGGAAAATTTTTGCGAAAATTATTTGAAAAGCTGTCTCTACTTCCATTGGTGAAATTAGGATCTACAGTTATTCCTTCAACTATTGAATTCTTTTCCGGATCAGATTTAAGTTTGACGTTCTTTAATACAACTCTCACTCTTCTAGTCCTATATTCAATAGGAAGATTCTTAACGTTGCGAAAATTATTTAAAAAAGTGCCTTGTAGATTTTCATTGATAGAATCAGGCTCTACAATTATTTCTTCTGTTGGATTCTTTTCTTCAGTCTTAAGTTTAACGCTTTTTAATACTCTCATTCTTCTTCCAGTCCTATATTCAACGGGAAAATTCTTAGCGCTGTAAAAATTATTAGAAAAAGTACCTTGGAGACTTTCATTGGTAAAATCATCTTCTGTACTGACTTTTTCAGTTTTTGTCTCCTCTTCTTCAGCTTTAGATTTAATTCTCTTTAATACAACTCTCATTTTTCTTCTTGTTTTTTCTTCATTGGGAAAATTCTGACTTATGTTACGATTATTTAAAAAATTATTTTGAAAATTTTTATTGGCAAAATCAGGATTTGTTTCTTCAATCGTGGAATTCTTCTCTTCAATTTTAGATCTAACATTCTTCAATACTCTCATTCTTCTTCTTGTGATTCTTTTATCAGAAAGATTCTTATTTGCGTAAGAACTTTTCGGAAAATTGTCTCGCAGATTTGTATTGATAGAATCAAAATCTACTCTTTCTCCTTCGATTAGGTTCTTTTCCTCTGATTTAGGTTTATCTTTTGGATTTTCTAGTTCAGAAAAATTCTTAGCTACATAAAGATTATTTTGAATATTATCTGGAAAACTTTTATTAATAGAACTAGAATTGGTACTGATGTTTTTTATTGTTGACAAACTTTCTTTAGACTGTTTCAATATAATTTCTTGTTTTTCTTTAATATTTTCATTCTCATAATGAGTTTGAAGTGTTTCATTCTCAATAATGATAGGTGTCTGAAGAAATACTGTTGTTTCTTCTGTGGGTAAAATGATATTCGTTTTTTCCTTGATTCTTTTCTTCAGTACAACTTTCCTTCTTCTCATATTTTTCATCTGATCATAAGCATGATCAGTAATATTTTGAACATCAATAGTATCTTGATCGGATCTAATAGTATTATTGAACGCTTTAGAATTAATTCTGATTCTTTTTTGTATGATTCTTCTTTTACGATTCTTCTCGATCGCTTTTGAAGACGAAATATGAGCAGTAGGTCTTTGTGATCGTCTACGGTACAATGTAACCTGATGTTCATTAGTTCTTTGTAATGTTGTAGGACTTCCAAGCCAATTGTTTGTTCGATTTAAAACGCGACGTTTAGCAGTTTTTTGACTGAATTGATAATTGGTTGTGTTCAATTCCAAAATCGTTTGATTCTGGTTTTCTGTAATCTTTGAAATACTTTCTTCTGACATCTTTATTTCTGGAGCTGTAGAATCATTCCTCATTTGGGCAGAACTCAATTTGCTAATGGTCGCAATTGTTTGATCTTCAATTTGACTTTGTGTTTTTATTGACATAGCTTCCTTAAAATCTGTCTTTTGTTCTAGCATTAAAGACTCTTCATTTATTGTTCGTACAAAATCTGATTTATAAGTGTCCGTAGTTGTTTGAATAGTGGAGTTTATTGCAATCAATTCGTCAGTAGTCGCAAAGGGTGTCGTAGAATCTGTAGATTGTTCTACAGCTACAATCGTTTTGTTAGTAATTAATGTTGTAATTGAAGGAGTTTGAGTGATTATCGGAGTCGAGGAATTTTCATCCCCTTGGGTTGACAATGTAGCTGTTACAACAGATAATGCTTCGAAATTTGTACTAGAATGAGGCTTTGGATATACGATCACTGTCGAAGTAAATGTTGAAGGGATTTCGAACGTAGGAATTTCAGTAATTTCAGTAGTTTCTGCAATTGTTGTAACGGTTAATATCTCGGAATTGCTAATATTAAAATTACTTGAATTTGTGAGATGTATTGTAGAAGATTCAGGCGTTAAAATTGTAGAAACAGAATTTGTTGAAGTTATGTCTGTATTCATAATTAGAGCCTTGGGCGAAGTCACAGAACTATTTTTAGATCGAATTGTAATTGGCGAGATCTCGCTAGTTGAAGAAGTGGAAGGAATGTTTGTATTTATAGACGATGTAATTACATTAAGATCAGTAGTCGTTGGAATAATTACATTAAGAGGCGTAGTCATTATATTTGTTGTTACATTAGTGTTTATATCTGCGAGATTATTCGTTGTCATGGGTGCAGTTACATGTATATGTTGTGTGTTCGTAGTTGAAGGAATGACTGTTAATGGTGAAGTAGTGACGGGAATTGTAGCATTCTTAATTGTGAATGTGGAATAATTTTTAGTTATGGAAAATGTTTCATCTGTAACACTCGCAGCTGTAACCAAGGTTGTAGAATCAACATCGTACGTACTTATAGTTGTTGGAATTGCATCTGTGGAATAATTTATTATTGAAGAAGTAATACCAATATTAGCATTTGTAATTTGCACTGTAGTCATATTTGCAGAATCATTTGCAATTTCTTGTACATTAGCAGTTATTGGTGTGGATATAATATTTTTTACGGCTCCAGCATTTGTTACTGTAGTTACATGATCGGTTACAACTGTAGTAGTCTCCGGAATTATATTTACATTTGTAGAAGGAATTTCACTTTCAGTATTTGTTGCGAATGTAATCGTAGTTGCAGGATCAGTCAGAATTGCATTCTCCATTAATGGATTATCAGTTACGGAATAATTTGGAGTAGTTTCAACTTCAGTACTTATAATTGTGGGTGTATAGATTATGGCAATTTCAGTCGCAACTGTAGGTGCTTTTGAAACTGCTATCGTCGATGACGTCGTAACAGAATGCGTTATAGGAACATTCATGATTGTAGAATCATCCGAAAACGTTAAAATATCAGCAGTTGTGGCATCATTTGATGGAATAGTTTTTAAAATAGAAGGAGTCGCTGCGATTATTGAATTTGTTAAAGTCACTATCTCAGTTACATTACTTTCTGAGTCTTCAGTTTTGGCATTAGAATTCGCAAGATTATTATAAACGCTTAGAATTTCAGGAGATGTAAAATCATCGGGTACCGTTAGAGAAGTTGTCGATATGATCGAAGCCGTAGGAAGTTTATTTCTTGAAGCCAAAGTCGAAGCTTCAGTAGTTAGAGAAGCACTTCTTAAAGTGTTAGTTACGGCATAAATAGAATCGCTCTCCGTTTGTCTTATAGCGTCCTTGATTGGTGAAACAGTAGTCCTATTTCTTTTCTTTGCCACTATACGCCCCGTCCACAACGGTGTGATGGTTTCGTTGTATCTATTTACAGCGAGGGCGATTTTTCGTTTTGTCGAAGATGCGTCGTAAGAGTTAAAAAGTGGCGTCATATGATCAAAATTACGCAATAATTTTTCTCTGTTGGATATTGGCCTATCGACAAGAATAGTAATTAAGTCAGATTTTTCATGATTTGAAGTCTCAGCGTTTGAAAAAGTCATTGAAGAATTGGATACGGAATATTTCTCTCCGCGAAAATCGATACTTTTGTCGTTAATGATATTTACATTGTCGTCGAGAAGATTAAGTCCTGATTCAATCTGATCATTATAAGCAACAGTAACAGCCTCATCAGGCATAGAAACGTCGGAAATTAAAATGGTTTCCGTCTGCTGTTCAACGGGAATATCAGTCGTTGTATAAAGTGGCGTAGATCTATCCACCAAAATCGATGATGCATTTTCGCTTCTGGTGATGTAAAACCCACGCATTACCGGATTAGAAATCAGACTAATGAGAGAAATGCTGCGCATTGTCGTTGGTTTCAAATAAACCGAATTGGTAGATGTCTTTCGTTTAGTCTCGTCTTCTTGAATAGTGTTCGTGACTGAAACTCGTTCATCAAAGTTTGTAACGTCGTCTTTTCTTAAAGTGCGAGATCTGTTTTCTGAAGCTTGTTGCAGCCACGAATCATCGGTTTCTTCAATTATGTCTCTCGGTGATTGGGCGATCTCTTTTTCACCATCTTGCGATTCGTCTGTTCCTCTCAACAACTTCTCGACATTCTGCCGGCTAATATCGTTGTCCACATCGTTACGCAACAAGTGCAAGAGTATGGATGACGACGTCATAGCAGTACGATCGTCGTAGTAAGTCGTCGGATAGCCAATCAGCTCCTTCAGAGTCGGCAGTCTAATAGCTTCCGAATCGGCGACCTGAAAATCAGAATAATGCAGCGCGCTTTAATATGGAGGTTCTTAAAAACCTCTCTGTTTCTCCTTGTTCTCTCCCTTCATAGTTTATTTTTTTGCAATCTTCTTCTTTCTGTCTTTCTGTCTATGCGTGAGCTGCGCCAGTTTGGAGGAAAAAAGAAGGAACATGAAGAGGAAGACTCTTTAGTTATCTATTGAAGCGCCGTGAACGTGTCTTGCTTGCTGCGTTAATTTGGATCGATTAAGGAATCATCCTAGGACATCGATAGTGTTTAATGATTATTGTATTTGTGGTAAGTAAAAGTACATCATCGAGAAAGTTATCAGAGGTTTCAGTCAAAAGTCCCCCTCTGAGAAGCGAATGAAGAAGGTGCTCGTTATGATTCAGTCATTATTGATGATGTGAGAATGATGCGTGAAGACGATTATTCAGTCGTCGGTAGTCGTGAGCTATAACGAGTCCTTGTCCTTTTGATTCACATAGTTATATTTAATGTCCATCTCATAGAACAATCTTAAATATAATATAATTAAATTTGTTAAGAGTGTTATATACATTAGTGACCTTTAAATGTCTACTAACACTTTAACGTTCCTTCCGATAAATCGGCGATCGCAATTGTTTCTTAATTACTTAATGGCTGGATCTATGTACATTATCGTTGACTACATTAATAAATAGTACGACATTCGACTATTATTTCGCGGAGCTCTTGCCAGCGATCAGATTGCTGAATACTGACTCGATTTCGATAGTCGAAGACTCATAAGATTCTGTAGTGAATCGATCATCATAACGATAATTGAACTCGCCCTCGATGGGCAAGGTGGATCGCTCGATACCATAACGAACTTCGTTGGCAGAGTCATCATTGACTCCAGTCACCAAAATTGATGGAATTGTTGGAGAGAATTGATCCGCTGGTATCCTCGTGGTCGATGTCAATGATGAATACTTGGTCTTGATGAGGATCTTCTGCCGCTCCGTGGTACCGGACTCTGTTACCGAGGTCACCAATCTAGTTACGGATGGTTTTACTGTAGTACGCGTATAATATGGATCAATTAAATTTTGCGAGTCAAAAAAATCGTTGCTCCTTGGCATCGTTGTTCTCAGTGATTGGTGTTTCCGATGGAAAGCATCCGCAGCGTAATCAAATTTTTTCATCGGTATCAGAGTCTCCGTGATTGCCGCTTCCGTACTGGTCGACGTACGTTTTGGGTACGAACGTGTTCTGAAATATTGCCAAGTGCTCGTAGATTCCGGACTCGGCTGCGTAGTTTTTTCCTCGATTTTAACATTATTCCGATTTAGAAGCTTATAACGCATTCGCGGCTGCCGGAAGCCGGATTGTCTCAGTCTGGCATTCCTTGTCTCTGGTGTCTCCTCGGATTCTTCAGGTGCAGAATCTAACGGAGGATATCGCCTCGGCGATAAAGCTTCTTCAGGATCGAATGGCCTCTTCAATATTATTGGAACCTTGTATCGTGGCCGAATCTCAGGTCCGCGAGTAACAATTGGTGTTAATCGATACGTATTATTTTCTGTAAACTCTGTTCTCGCAATTTTACGGTCTTCAACATCTTCAATATAAGCTGAAGAATAATTTATTTGATCTCTTAACGAAGTCGTGGTATAATGTTTCCAGAATTCCAAGGTGTCATCCGAAAAACCATTTGTCGAAATCGATTTGTTTCTCAGAGTCGTACCTTTTACAATGTCTTGTCTAGCTAAGTCACGAGATCTGTTTGTATTCTCTTTTTCTTCTCCTTCTTTCTCTTCCTTATATTTAAGATTATCGTAAAGTATATTAACGATGCTAGGAGAAACTGGACGTCCAATAAATAAGTGGTTTTTGCGTTTTGAGAGAATCTCGAGGCTGCTGTTTTCCGTTGATAACAGCGCAGGAACGTATTGATTGGTGGTGTTCCCTGAAGATGATACAGGATTCTTGCGAATAAACTTCTTACGTGCGTATCTCGAATCAAAAGTCGATCTTGCAACTGAAAATGAATCCGATTCCGTCGTAAATGGTGTAGTAGTTGCTTGCGTACGAGTGGTAGCTGAATCTGAATCCGATGTGGACAACGTGGTGGTTATTTGCATGCGAGTAGTGGATAAATTCTCAGCTTCAGTAGATGGTATTAATACATCTTCTAAAAACATACTTTCAGTGTTATAAGTAGTGTCTGTCGCCAACGTTGATTCAATTGTAGTAACTTCAGTATCCATTTCAATCGTTGACCGCTGAACCTCGTCAGCATCTGTGTTAATCGTTGATATAGTAGCAGTGCTGAGAATATCTGTAACTTCTTCGCTTGATGTCGTCGTGGTTTCAATTGCAGGAGTCTCCAAAGTAACCTTCGTGAAACCATCAGGGTTGTAATCGGCAGACAAAGTAGTTTCCGTGACAGTCAAAGTTGAATCTTCCATTTCTCTCGTAAATCCGGTTAAACCAGTAACAATCGTCGATTCTTCAGTATTTTGGCTTATTAAAGTAACCTCTGTCTGATTAATAGAAACTGTCGATTTTTCAATATCTTTATCGCTTTCCATTGGAATCGTCGGTTTTAAAAGAAGACTCGAATCTTTTTCTTCTTCGAGGGAAACTTCAATCGATGTTGAAGTATTTTGAAGTGGACGTTTACGTTTTATCACTTTTCGTCTGCGAGGCCCTTGAGATGTTTCCTCTTCTTCTGTTTCAATAATATTGACAACTGTGCTCGATGATATTGGTCTCTTTCTTAGGAAAATTTTTCGTTTTCTTGATGTTCCCGATGTTTTTTCTGCAACATCAAAGGCGCGTTCGGTAGAAACAATCGTCACCAAATCGGGATTAAATTGAGTTTCGATGCGAGTGGTCGTTGTGGCAACAGTATCTTTAGATTGATTGCTTGCATCTATTTTATTGCTAGATATAGTTGTTACATCAATTGCGATTGGTTTCAAATCGTAGATCGGCTGGATAGTGTTGGATTCAACAACGGAATCAATTTTTGCGGTTGATTGATCAATAACAATGCCATTCAACAAATCATTTCCCTCAATCCTGTCAGTTTCCGCAGAAGTACTTGTTCTGAAAGTTTTTAGTGTCGATGCTATGTGTTTTTGGTTCAAGTCATCGTTTACTTTTTGCAACGACTCTTCCACGTTGTTTCTCTTTCTTGTGTACTTCGTTCTGTCATACAATTCGCGATTAACAGTCGGCTTTCTAAATACCCTGATGTTCGTTATTTTATTATTCTCCTCATCAGATTGCGATTGATACAACGGATTTTTTCTAGAACCACCTTGTGTTATTCTTACTATCGGGCTATCATCCAATTCATTGGCTTTAATAGATTCTGAATTATTGACTCTGCTGCTAGGTCTTCGATATCTTCTCTTAACATCATCAATGGTAACTGTACCAACGGTAGTTGAAGTTGTTGTTCTGCCTCTTTCTCTGAACTTAAGACCTGGGACGGAATTCACGGAAACGTCTTGCGTCTTTGATCTCGAAGTTGGTGGAGTGTATCTGTTGGATCCCCTGCCACGTGATCTACTAAGGTCCTTGCTCCTGGATGTGAAAGTCTCCGCATGCGGAATGTCCACTTGATCCACTAACTCCTCCTCGGTAACTCGTTTGACTGGTTTTGTCCTTAATCGAATTCGCCCCAGAACCGGATTGGACGGACGCGTAGAATTTCGCGGCGTAATACTCACCTTGGACCTGCTCAATGGAGTCGTAGCCGTCGTCGTCGTTTCTAATGAACTGGATCTTCGTCTGGTAAAACCGAAAGGTCGCGGTTGCGACACTGCGGCGATCGTTGATCTGCTTGCTAACGTCGTTGTTGTTGTTGTCGTCGTCGACTGGCTTAAATTACTACTAATTGCCGGCAATGTTGTAAATAAGATCTCCGTTGCCGAATCTTCCACCAGTTTCATCGAGTCAGTGGTGGAGTCGATGTCCGTTCTAGAGCTAACATTAGATGAATTTTCTGATGGTTCTGGTGGTTCAACACTAATTGTGGTGATAACTTCGGTGGAAGTCGAAATAGTCGTTGCAGGCGTTGTAGACAACGAAGCGGTCGTATTAACTGTTTTTCTAGATACTTCTGGATATTCTTCTAATCTCGTTGGTGAAGTCGTCTCGCTAATCTCTGATATTATGCTAGACAAACCTTCCGAAGTTTTCAAAGTGGTACTTCTGAATCTTTGTATGTTAGAGTACCTAAAAAATAAATAAAAACGTGCATAGTAATATAAAAGAAAATGAAAAGTAATATAAAAATATTGTAGCAAATAATTATATATAGAAACCTAGTTTTGGTTGTTGATGAATCATTATCTTTGTCTGCTGATTGATGATTCGTGCTTTTATCTTCTCTTTTCTCTGATTTTCTGAAGTTGTTATAAGAAATAAGAATCTTATAAAAATAATAAATGTAGGTAGTACATTATATTTAGATATATATTATACATATAATTATATTATGTTATCATATATTTACAATTTTTTTCTTGTACCTGAAACCTGAATCACGATTTCGAAAAGGTTTAGACGTTTCAGAGCTTGCTTCATTATCATGTTGTCTAAAAATAATTATTATGTAATATTAATTTTTAATAAATTTTTAATAGAACAGAGCGCGAATAATTGTATCATTGAAAATATGTTTACTTTGAAGAAACGATCGGTCGTCGTCTGCGAGTCGGTTTTTCCTCCTCGATTTCAATTTCCTTCCCTTCCACGTCATTCTCGATTCTGAAAATTTCATATCATGAGAGATACAATATTTTTACAATATACGAGATAAATCATTTATTTTGTCAATTATCTTACTTAGACGTCGTGGTGAAAGGTCGTGTTCGTCGAATATTTACGTAACTTGGCGTCACCCGTTGAGTGGATAAGCTATCTTCTAACGGGTTACTAATGCTTTTTCCCTCAGAAGAAGCTACATCACTGTTGTTTTCCTCGTCCTCATTGATATCTTCGTTCTCGGATGAAGATTCTTTCGTGATCGATCTAATCAATATCAGAATCGTAACTAAAAGGTATATGAATTAAACATTTACAATTTATAAAATTAGTTTTATCAACAATTAAATTTAAGAAACAAATTCCTAATAAAATTAAATAAACAAAACAACAATGGATATATAGGATTGAGTCAAGTATGGAAAATGTTGCGCAGAAAATTATTCGCTATAATTAAAAATTAATAGAATCTATTTATTAGTAATAAAAAGATTTTTAATTATAACGAATAATTTTCTGCGCAACAATTTGCCCATGTTGTTGTTTTGTTTATTTAGTTTTATCAATATTGGTCTCAATTTAATTTTCTGGAAAATTATGATTAACAGAAAGAAAAAATATATAAACTACGATGGAAATTAATTAAACTTAATAAGTATAAGTAATTAATATAAAATGTGTGATATTATTTTTACTAATAATACATTTATAATAATCAAACAAGTGACTGACTTGGATCTTTCGATGGTGACATATTGAGGTTTCTGTGATCGTCTAAGACTCTTCACTTCAGGGATATCGTCCAAACCTTCGAATTGTGCTCTTCCTGGCCCGTTCACGTAACTGGTTTCCGAGGACGATAACACGGGTCGATGATTACCAATTCTATTCGTTTGGCGATTCAGTACACGTTCATATAAACTACGACTAATCGTAGCCGGTGTGACACTTTCGCTGCCTGATTTGGTATCCGAATTCTTTTCTTGAAATAGCAATTGCTTTTCCAACTCTTCTATTCCTCCTAAAATAAAAAAATTCTTTAAATTATTTATTTTAAAATATAATATAAAAATATAATATAAAAGATTTCCTAGCAAAAGAGATATATCAATATTATAAAAAATATTGCATAGAAATCAATAAAAGGTAATATAAAAAAAAGAACTGAAAGAATTAAAAGAAGAATTAAAATTACTTAGAGTTATTTTAATTGCAGAGGGTGTTAATGTTATAGAATCATTAGAAAGGTAGGTACATTGTAGTTATATCTACTTATGTTTAACAAACTTATACTTGCCAGCTTTTTTTATAAGATCGATGAGTTCTTTGATAACTTTTGGATCTTCCTCGTCTTCGCTGTCAATTTTTTCTCGTTCACTTGGTTTCGAAGTGGTCGTCGTAGTAGTCGTAGTGGTACTTGGTCTATTTCTAGTAAGTGTTTTATACACAAGCGGTCTCATTGTTGTAGTAGTTATCGGTTCTTCCTTCTCCTCCTCTTCCTCTTCTTCGTCTTCCTCGTCATCCTCTTCTAAATTGTCATCCTCTTCCGAATCGTACTCTTCTGATTCCTCTTTTGCGGTTGTTGTGCTGTGCAAGTAAGTTGTTCGACTTGTTGCGGCCGTAATGGGCGATCTAGTGGTAGAGACGATCGATGTTTTCGATGTCTTGGGACAAATTACGTTACGCGGATAATCACAAGAATCCGCCCCTTTGTTGAATACCAATCCTGTGAAAATCCAAAAGATATTATTACGAACAAATCAAAAATTTATGTTCTAGTCTCAGATCTAGCAATAAATGGAAATAATATAACTATTATCCAGAGTAAATTATAACATCAATGTTATGTTACTATGGATGCTATCAAAGAGACGCTATTAACACTATTTGTGTCATCTTTGTTTTACGTTTAACAAACGATGAAGGTGGAAGACTCCAACAGCATTTATTAATACATCTCGAACGCATTCTATTAATTAGTGTTTACTGAATAATATTTAAAAATTCAAATTTTTTGAATTAATTTTTTATTCGTATCATTTATTTAAATTTTTAATTTTTTAATTTTATATATATATATATATACATTTCATGCTTATCTTTTCCTTTTTTCTCATAAAGTTATATTCTCATAAAATTAATAATTTAAGAATTAACTGTTAAAACGTAATAAAAATTATTAATAGAATAAAATTATTAGTAGAATAAAATTACCTGATGGACAGATGAATTGATGCGCAACTACGCCAAGTCCACCGGGACCACTATCAAGACACCAGAAATATTTTTTGCAATCACGAGGATGCGGAAAGAAGCCTTCATCTTCACATTTAAAATCTGTAAAATGTAAAATACGTAGTAAAAATAATTTTGTTCCAAATACTTTTATATATTAAATTGAGATATTCCAAAATCTGAGAGCAAGAATTCAATTAATCATTGTTTAAAACATGTTTATCTCGTGATTTTCACGGAAATTTACCAGTTCCTGGATCGGGTGTAGTTGGTGGTTCGGGAGTCGTTAGCTTGTTGCTTAAGGATTCTTCATTCTCGCCAATCTTGTTTTGCCCCTTACGTCTGGAATGCTTTCTACGAGTAGTACGATCAGCACTTTGCGTTTTACTCCTGTTTTGATTCTTCGGTCGCTCGGTTTTCTCTGTAACTCTTACAGTGTTTCTACCCTCTGTGTCTTCATCTGATAATGGATCATATGATCTCCTAGATACTTCCCGATCTTCCTGTTCTTCCTTGCTCGCTTGTGAAATGGTACGGTATTTTGGTCTTGAAGAGGACACACGTTTGCTGATAATTGGAGCAGATGTAGTGCTACTTCTTCGGTTACTTATACTCGACTTACGAGTGCTGCTTTGCGTATTTTGCGTGCGGGTCTTTTTACGATTATCTACTGACTTCGTCTTGTCGATTGTATTCCTGCTATATAACAATAATAATAATTTTTATATGTATAATAATATTAAATTATAAATAGAAATAAAAAATATCTAACACCAAAAATAAGATTTCGAATTAAAAAAATCTACATTTTGTTTTCATCAATTACACAAACTCACAAAAAAATATTCTGTGTTGGGGTGAAGACCCAGCTATTCTTATGTATTTTGAATCGCTGAATATGAATCTGACATCAAAATAGGACCATTCAGAGTAAATTTTCAATCTAAAGCGAAAAAATGATCCTTTTTTTTCCCATTTTTGACCCATTTGAATGGATCTCCATTCAAGCACAAGATACTTTTTTTTGTAGGTCTATATTATCATTTATTAATTTGATGTCTTGTATAAATATTTAAGCTGACTTATATAATAACATTAATAATACACTAAAACACTATCTTTAGATAATTATTGTAATGTAATATTATTATCTAATGTAATATTATTATCTAATACATATATTACATATTATAATTATATCATAATATAATATTATATCATAATATAATAATATAGTTTAAAGTGCTGTTTCTTAAATTGATATTTGTTGCTAATAAAATTTGTTAACATATTATTATATATACATATATAAGATTACCTATTATCCGTAAGCAACGCTTCTTTGGCAGCCTCAATCAATGGATAAGGTCGACCGTGGCATTTCCCACGAAAATCATCATTATCTATCGACCAGAACATAATGCCTCCCAATTTCTTCTCATTCACATAATGAGCTTTCAATTTGACTATATCCTCGTCGTCATATCCTACCCACTGATTGTCTTTGAAGGCGTATGGTCCCATAGCTTTTGGATTTGGTTGAACAACTTCCCATTCGTCAGAATCTGCTATACTCTCGCAAATCTTAAAAACAAATGTTTAATTTTCAATTTTAAATATATAAATAAAAAACATATGCTTATAAATTTAAATACATAGAATTTTTATATATGCATATTTTATAAATTTTATGTATTCTTAGATAATATAGAACTGATCCATTATATAATTACATAAAAGACTACATACATAGTATATAGATTCCCACAAAATTATATAAGCACTTAAACTCCAACTATTTCTATTGGTTGTGTGCAATAAAATTTACCTCATAATAGGCAAGATAGCCTTTCTCTCGAGTGGCTTCTCCTTCGGTACCAGGACCATCCGCTGGCGATCCGAGTTCGGTTGCATCCTGATTGAACAATGTATATGATCGACCATATGTTGGTATTCCAAGAACGACTTTATCTGCGGACGCGCCTTTCTCCAAGAGATGAGTTATTGTATAATCCTGTTAGACATTAATGAAGGCATCTTACTAATTGATCTGATTCAAATGGTAACTATAAGATCTTAATGAACAAATTCTCACAATAGTCAATTCCGCATCGTAATTGTATTCGTTGTCCTCCTCCAGGGGATACAATGGTGAATGATGATTGACAGCGGGCTCGTACGCCGAGTGATAGTCGTAAGAGAGTAAATTAATAAAGTCCAAGTATTCATTTAGTCTGGGTACATCGTAACCTTTGTCGATATATTCGGCACCGGCGGGCATCGCCATCGATAGCAACAATCTTGATCTTCCGGTCTTCGAAGATTCTCTCTCAAACTCCTCACGAAGTTCCTATCAATTCGCAATTAATTATTTTATTTAACTTTCCGCAATTCATTCCTTCTTTGATTGAAATAAGATTGCAATCAGTTTTTTATCATTTTGCGTTTATTCACATTTCTATCTGTGAACCTTTAACATTTTTTTTATTTGCTGAGATTTCTACAAGAAATTTCATATCTTTTTTTATGACGATAAGAAATGATTGATAAATCTACCTGCACCAAGTCGGCGTAATTGTCCTTATCTCGCGGTTTTCCGCCATCTCTAAATGCTGGATATTCCCAGTCGAGATCGAGGCCATCGAAATGATTCTGTCTAAGGAACTTAATAGCGTTCTTGACAAATTCCCGTCGTCTCGCAGAATCGGCTACCATCGGTGAAAATCTGCTGGAGCCTTCATTCCAACCGCCGATCGCCAGCATCGTCTTCAAGTTCTTATTATAGGTCTTCAAACCCGTAAACTTCGCGTATCCGCCTGTCGAGTGAACATGTTCATTGAAGAGTGAAAGTTAAACATCGGCCAAGTCATCAAAAATGATGTGTTCAGAGTTTGTCAATGTAGTGCATTAAACAACTTGATAAACAGAGCATTCTGACTAAATAGAAGCAACGCTGCTTATATTTAAATATAATAGATGTAAAATTAGAAGTAATTCTTGTTGTAACTGAAAGTAATATTTTTAATACTCGTGGGACGGTTAACATTTAGTCTTCAATTTTCTTGGTATAATTGATTCAGTTATTACATTAAGTCATAACATTACATTTTTAATAAATTTATGATACGTTCATTTTAATTGAATCGCCGTCAATATGCATATCATTGATAAATAAGTAGGTAATTAAATAATTATTATAATAAGGCTGCAATATTGAATTACAATCATTACAATTCTTCAATAAATTGATAATAAAATTTAACAAGTCTTGAAATAAATATTATATTTTTGTACCTTTTTCGATATCTTGATACTTGTCGAACGGTTTCAGTGCGTTTTCTTTTGTGAAACCTCCAAACGCGTAGATTAAGTGAGTACAAAGATATGGATTTATGTTTTGAGGGGAGAATTTCGCTGTGCCGGGCCGATACACTGACCAGTTCGTATAATAACAGACAATTCTGCGTTCAGCGATTCCTAAAAAATAAAAATACACAGTTACAAGCATGAAGAATATATAAAATTGCTTTTTTTAAAGCAATTTTTAAATATATTTTTTTCAATTTTTTTAATATAGAAAGTTATTTTTAGATTTCTATTGTATATCGTTAAATAATTATAATAATTTTTAAAGCGTTTACATAAAATAAGTTATACAAATACAAATAAATCAGATGACTGCTGAATCAACAATATATTACTATCAATAATAAGTTAGACCTAAAAAGTACTTACATACACTAATAGATTTAATAAATATAATATTGACTATGAACAAAAAAATTTTTTAATATTTAAAAATAATTAATTACATAGGTATCTAAAATCGGTCTTTGGTTAAAAATATTTATTTCTTATAAGCATATTGGCATTTTTCTGAAAGAAGAAGAAACGAGGTCACTTTGTTTTACAGTGACTGCTTTTCTGCTTTCAATAGAATTCTTTTGAATGAAGAGAGCTATGCATCCTAGTGCATTGAATCTTGCGCTGCAAATCGCGAAAAATTTTCGCTCTCTGGTGACACCTCTTAATAGCGTGCTTTCGGCGTTTTCACCGCTAAACGCACGTTTACGAGATCGTGAATTAAGCGTCCCAGACGCATACGCCTGGCTCTTCACTATATTCGCATTAAATTCATACGTGCACATACTTGCGAACGTGGGGAGAATGCATAAACGCTACGAGAGAAAACGTTCCAACAGAGAGAAATTGACACGCGATTGGGACTTTCGTTTATGCGAAGAAATAGCGTTCGGCTCTCATAGCCGATGAGGTTCTTAAAATGCATTTCTGATATCCGGCTAGATTTTTTTCTGACTTATGTAGAAGAAAATATAGCAATTTTCGAAAATATATATATATGTATAATTTACGATAGACAATGTGACTTGACGTCATTAGAAATTCAGACAATGCAAAATAAAAAGAATTAATTTTTTTTCAAAAGCACTTATGTTGTAAAAACAATAATTTTTTTTTACATGTGTACACAACTATGATAATAGCATATAATTAATTTTATCTAAAATAATATACGAAAGGCAAAGTTAATTTTTCGAGATGTATGTAGATAAATTAAATTGAAATGTATTAAAATTGTGTTGTTTCCAACAATATTTTTGCATTAATTAACTGGTACAACATCATTTTACACAGAAAGTAAATAAAAGATCTCGTTGTATCCAGTTATATTATTTTAAATTGTTTTTTGTAAAAGCTAATCTCCTCAAATAGAGTCTGATGATAATGCTCAACTTTTTATAATTTCGCAAACTAAGGAGATCTTATAAAGTCATGATTATGTTAATTGAATTAGATTGTATTATTGCGGATATCATTACAGTTAATCTAACTTCCTTCAGCAAAATGTTACGAAGATCCGTAACAAGCCACGTAATCCGATCGAAAATGGCATTGCGAAAGCGAGAGACAGTATTACGAGACGGATATTGTTTCTCTCTAGCCGTCCAAGCGGTTAATTAGTCGAATGCGTGTATATCTATGCATGGAGAAGCATGCATCTCGTTGCCCCGCTTCGCACGTGCATAATCGCCCACGAAGGCTGACTTTGATGGCATGCCGAGAGTTCGCGTCTCGTACATGCAACGAGCACTTTCGAGCCGTTCGCGAATTATCCGTCGTTGCTTTCACCGATCGTGCGTGAAACGAGGCCGAACATCATGTAGGAACAATTGTGTAGAAACACGAGCAGTACCTGTAGATTAAGGCTTACTACTGACCCTGACCGCAGGAACCAGGCGACACTTTGACGAGGTCGACGAAATATCCCTGGGCAACGTCGAAATCAGAGCAATTTCGACGAGCGTTTATCGAAGGCTTATGTATTTACGTAAAGGAAAGTTGAATGCTATCGTGTATTAATTGTAATAATAATGATTAATTGTAGATTATGTCCGTCAAAGCGATCTATCATAAACTAGAAATACTTTTGAAAAATAGAAAAAATGAGAATTTTGATAAAAATTTATACACAATATCATTTTTAGTATAAATAAGTAAGTGTCCGTTTCTAAATCTTTAAAATATGTAATTATTTTGTACATAAAGAACTAAATTGTACGGATTACTTTTGAAAGAAACTTTCCGTTTTCTATAAATATTTGTAAATTAATAAAAATAAAAAAAAACAAAAAATTTAGATTACTTTTAATGTATCATTTAAATTACTTTTATATGCCCAGAGCAATAAAATTTGACCTAAATTATATCAGTTTTAATACGTTCATTAATCTTGTCCCTGATGACACGTGCATCATATTCTATCTAATTTTTATTATATTATATTTCATTATTTTACATTACATTTATATTATAATCAATTTGAAAAAATAATTAGTCTTTTAAGTGTAAAATAATTATGAATTTAAAAAATTAAAAATAGATACTTATTTATATTAAAAATAAAATGTTTACATATTTTAATGTGATGTTAAAATTAAATGTATTAACTTTATTGTATTTTATAAATACTTATATAAAAGGGACAATATTATAAAATTCAAAAGCTTTAAAAGTAATGCCAATTATATTACGTTTTATAAT